TCCAGACATGCAAGCTGCCCATGCCACAAGCGCTCATGCAACCCCATACCATCAGTGATGCAGGCTTCTGAACGGAGCGTTGATAACAACTTGGACTATCCTTGTCCTCTCTGGTCCGGATGACATGGCGTCCCAGTGTTCCATAAAGAACTTCAAATCGTGACTCATCTGACCACAGAACAGTCTTCCATTTTGCCACACTCCATTTTAAATGACCCCTGGCCCAGTGATCTGTGATTTGTGTTCTATTCTGAATAAAATATTAGATGTTGGCACCTCCACATCATTGCATTCAGTTTTTATTCACAGTTTGTTTAGTGTCCCAACTTTTTTGGAATCCCGTTTGTATGTAACTCAGAATTGAACCAAGAAACCAGTTTCCTCTGATTGATTACTTTCTTTTTCAGTGGAGCAATTTTATCAAGTGAAGTTTGCATTGAAGTTGTAAGATGATCAACTAGATGATCTAAGTCTCTGTTCTCTGATGCATTACTCTGCAAGACAGAGGAAAACATTGATGGAAGAGATTGTTGAAATTTGGTTACAGCATTTTCTGATAAGCACCTGCTGAGATGAAATTTACTCTCAGTGACTGTGTAGTCATTTAATGTAAACTCAAAGGTTATTAAAAAATGGTCGGACAGAACAGGATTTTGAGGAACTATTACCAAGTCCTTAATCTCTATACCATAGGTCAGAACTAAATCAAGAGTGTGATGATAAGAATGAGTAGATGTGCAGACATTTTGGGTAAAACCAAATGAGTATTAAATTATTAAAGGATATGTTTAAGCTATCACTTTCAACATCTACATGAATATTGAAATCACCCATTATTATGACTTGTATATATTAAATATTTTATCCAGCTCACAAGACAGGCAGACTGTGGGTATTTCCTAACCCCTTTCTGCTCTGGGACGGGGGTAAAATAACTGTAATTTAAAATTTAAAGTAAATGTTTATAAGTGTTTGAGCGTGAAGATTTTTCCAGATGACGGTGATCCACTTTGGTTTTGGTCCTGCTTAAACTAGCTGCTAGCTCATTTGTCTGGTCCGAATCAAACGGTTTCTCCAAACTGAAGTTGCTCAAAGAGCTATTTACAACAGGGAAGATGTTGAATAACTTTTCTATACTTTGTTGTATTTTTAAGTCTTTTGACAAATAACAGTTGCCTTTTTTAAAATGTTATTTACTTCTTAGTATTTTTCAGTGTTTCCTTCATCTAACTGTTCCTGCTTGTAGTTTGTAAAAGCAGGAGCATGTGTAAAGCAGCCGGTTGGCACTAACACAGCTAACGTTGCTCATTGCTCTGTGGAGTGAAGCTGCCATGTCTCCCTTTCTTTCTCTGTGTCTGTAGGAGCTCAGGAGGTTCTCATTGACCCAGGTATGACATGTCTGACCATTGTAGCTCTAAATGCCCTTTCTCCTGCTTGCATGTGTTCACGTGTTTTCTGTTCATATGTTTTTGTGCCCATCACTCCTGCTTTCATTTGTATTGCTTTTTTGGAAATCACAGTTGCCTTATTTTTATTGTTCTTTCTTACAGTAGTTGTTTTATTCACTGTCTTTGGCTTTATTCTGATGTATTTCTTAGTTGTATCCTCTGACTTGATCAGTAACCCATGGTGATTAAGGACCAAAACTTTGATTGGTCACTTCCCTTTAACCTTTATTTCATTTCAAATAGGGATGCACCGATACATATTTTTAAACTCTGAGTACTTGTCGATACTAAGTATTGAAACTGAGTATTAATAAATGCCATTACAGTTCTTAGTTACTTTGAAAATCTTCATCTCATTTTTCTACCGTTTATTCATAGTTGGGTCACAGAGGCAACAGTTCCTGGAGATAAACTTTCTTTCTCCAGCTCCTGAATTGGGATCCCACAGTGTTCCTAGGTCAGACAGGATATATAATCCCTCTGGAGAGTTCTGGGTCTGTTCCAGGGTCTCCTCCCAGTGTGACATGTCTGGAAACCTCTGAATAGAGGTGTTCAGGATGACTTCTAAGTTGCCAGATGTTTAACTTCGTAGGGCATCCACATATGTGGACAACCTGGCATTCACATATGCAAGAGATCGGGTCTTAGGAGGTTAAACCACCTCAATTGACTTTTCAGTGCAGAGGAGCAGCGGCTCTATTCCAAGCTCCCCTCGGATGATGGAGCACCTCACATTGCCTCTAAGGTTGAGCTTGTCCGCCTATCATTTTGTATCCAGAATCTTGATCTTATGGTCATGATTCAAACCTCATGACCACAGGTGAAGGTTATAACATAGACAGACCAGTACAGAGATCCCTCACCTATCACGGGGATTACTTTCCAGAGACTCCAGCAATAGGTGAAAATTTGTGAAGTAGCAGTGTTATATTTATTTTATTATATTTATATATATATTTTAAGACTTTATAAACCCTTCCCACACTCCTACAAACCTTTCTCACTCTTAAGTTTACCCCTCATACTCAACGCAGCACTGAAAAGTTTAGTCCACGCCCACCTGCTGTGTGGGCCCCACCCCAGTTTGAATAAATTGCACTGAGACCAGGAATAGACTCCCAAATCGTGTTTTTCTGCAGCCATTTTGTAGCCAATGAGGCCCAGATCTTAAAGGGCTGCACCTATACTCGTGGAATCTGGGGTTACAGTATGTAACCAACATTATTTTTCGCGTAGGTTTTGCCCTTAAAGGCAAAAAACGGCTTAAAGGCTAGTGGGTTAATGGTGAAGCAGGATGTAGTCTATGCCGCACTGGGTCCGTTCAGAACCACAACCACACAGAAAGCTGCTTACACTCTTTGAAACAATCCATATTGAGCCTTTGAATCAAATGTAATTATGCACCACTGAATCTGTGTTCCTGAGACACGCTGAGCAGCAGAGAAAGAATTTCTGCATCAGACTGATGGCTGAAATGTCAAACCCTACTGTTGTGAGGACAGGCAGGATGGAGAGCTCACTACATCATCACTCTGACAAAACTCTGAGGGCAGAGTGAGTCAGGGAGAAGCTAGAGACATCACACACATAAAAACCAATGAATGAGCATGGAGAAGCCCAGGAAGCTGCTGTACAGATGTCCTGCACTGACCCTGTGCAGAGCCATGGAGGATGAGATTCCTCTGGTTGGGTGAGCTCTGAGCCCCTCTGGAGGCTGAGATCCAGAATAAATGCATGCCTGTGAAACAGTCTCATACAGCCAGAGTGACAGGCACTGAGCAGACAGAGGAAGTTCTTGAGACTGATCTTGAAGTCTGTCTGGCTCTCGATTGAGGTGGCTGCTTCTGTCTTCCCTCCCCCATTTTTCCTTCCTCCTGCTTTGCTGTCTGTGTGTCTGAAGCACCTGGTACACATCTCCCGAACGTAAATTAAGATTATGGATCTGGCAACCTGGACTTTCAACGCTATCGACAAATTTTTTTCAACAAAATGACTGGAGAACCTGCTTGCCCAGCTAAGACGCACACTGTGGGGTACGTCATGGATCCGTGGGGAGTGTGGCAGTTGATGCGCTTCTCAGTCCTATCTCAGGAGGATGCTGAAGACGTTTACATATTTGGATTTATGATAGCAGGGACTCTGCTTTTTGGCATTGGCGGGACTCTGTTTTATCGACTTTTGAAGAAGACATTGGCAGCAGTTTCGGTCATGACAAAGCTTCCGATTCAGTATGAAGGTTTGCTTTGTGCTGTGAGTACTCAAAATCAGCTGATTTACGAGCTAAACCATAAGGTGGAGGCGATTTATGAGAATCGCAGGCCACCTGCGGCTTCTGGGTGTCGCCAGTGTGGTGGAAGCGACCTTGAAGGAGCCTCATAACATTGATCAGTGGAATGGATTCCCATAATCAGGCCATTTCGAACCAGAAAATCCAGAAAGACTCAAGGCTGATGAAAAACATCTGTCAGCCTGAAGAAAATCAACAAGCAAAGCTTATCTGAATCTGACTCCCGGTTGGCCCCGGAAACGGGCCAACTATCAAATTTGTCCTGGGTCATGGGTAACCAGGGATAAAACCTTCATCTATCGCACCCCTGCTGGAAGATGAAATCTGCATCTCCATACAGCTCCTCAGCAGAAGGAATCATGAAGTCCTCTAAAACATTCTGGTAGACTGTTGCGATGACCTTGGATTTAAGAAAGCAGAGTTTACCAACACCTGCACCGGACATTGCACCCCAAATCATGACTGACTGGATTTTTCACACTGGACCTCAAGCAGTATGGGCTCTGTCCCTCACCCTTCTTCCTCCAAACCCTTAGACCTTGATTTCCGAATGAAAGGCGCTGTTACGCCACCCCCCCCCCCCACCCCCACCGTTGGAGGAAGGGGAGCATGAACATGACAACCACAATAAATTAGCAGAGTCCTTGTAAAAGTGAAGGAAGAACTTTTATTGTTTTGCTCTTTTTTAAGGTCTTTTTAAATCTCCAAAAAATAAAACTGGGGGGAGAAAGGGACAGTTAGGTTAGTGCCAAATCAAAGAAACAAACAAAACAAAACAGGGCCTAACTGACATCTACTCTAGGTGGAAAACAATGAAATAAAAATACCCTGATATGCTTATCTAAATAAAGAGTTCACCAAAAATTACAAGGGTGGCACCAGCCTACTTATCTAATGTGTTTAACAGAACTTTTTACCTGAGTGCGGAAGTGTATAGGGTACCCCAAACTTACCTAGTCCTCTAACTCCCACCACAAACCTTATACAATGAACACTGCTCCAGACAGCAACACAGGTGTGCCAAACAAGCAGCATGGAGGGAAGTCAACCAAAAAAAAAAAAAAAAAAAAACAGCACTGAAGGGCTTCCTTTATAGGGCAGTCCTGAGCCCTGATTGGTCCTGCCCAACTCTCCAATCAGTCAGCATTCAAATCTCCAAATTGGCACCAGCCTGCATTCTGCACCTCAGGAGAAAACAGAGAAACGAGGGAAAAAAACACAAAGTCCTCCAGACATGTAACAGGCACACTTTACTTTCATCGGAATCGGATACATTGGCTCATGTTCAGAAGTGGCTTGACCCGGGGAACCCGACAGTTGTAGCCCATCTCCCATATGCGTCTGAATGTGGTGGTTTTTAAAGCTGTGATTCCCGCCTCGTTCCACTCCTTCTGGATCTCTGCCAGATTCTGGAATCTTCTCTGTTTGATAATCTTCTGAAGCCCATGATCATCTCTTTTGCTGGTGCATCTTCTCCTGCCTCATGTTGCCCTTCCACTAGATTTTCCATTGATATGCTTGGACACAGCACTCTGTGAACAGCCAGCCTCCTTAGCTATGAACTTTTGTGGCTTACCCATCCTATGGAGGGTATCAATGATGGTCTTCTGGTCAGTTGTTATGTCTGCAGTCTTCCCCATATTGAACCGAACTGAAGCAGTTTAATGACACCTGGGGAAACGTGCAGGTGCTTTGAGTTTAGTGGATACAGTGCCTTGTGAAAGTATTCGGCCCCCTTGAACTTTTCAACGTTTTGCAACATTTCAGGCTTCAAAAACACAAAGATAAAAATTTTTAATTTTTTGTGAAGAATCAACAACAAGTGGGACACAATCGTGAAGTGGAATGAAATTTATTGGATGTGTCAAATTTTAACAAATAAAAAACTGAAAAGTGGGGCGTGCAACATTATTGGGCTCCTTTTACTTTCAGTGCAGCAAACTCAGTCCAGAAGTTCAGTGAGGATCTATGAATGATCCAATGTTGTCCCAAATGACTGATAATGATCAATAGAACCCACCTGTGTGTAATCAAGTTTAAATTGTGGGCCCTGAATCTATCATCTAAGATGAACTTTTTGAAGGAAATTATGGAAGTCAAACAACTTTTCCATGATATTCTAATTTTTTGGAAAGGGTTTGTATATATACATACACACACACATTTCTCCTGCTGCATCGACTTTGTGAAGGGTTAACCCTTTGCTGTCCAGATGCAATGATCGATTTTTGTCTTCCAACTTAAAATTCAAAGTATGTCACATTGTAAAATCATCATAACCACAAAAATTAAAAGTGTTAAAAGATATTTTTAAATATTTTAGAACGTCTATGTTCAGTTGTTGCAGTGTAATTGATCAAGAAGTGCATTTCTGCTCCGTGCTGCAGAGCTGAAGCTGTGGGACATCTCTTTGATGTCCTGCTGCACTTCTCTTCTCAGAGTCTGAGATACTTTGTCATTCGCACCTCATGCGGTACATGTGGTGGAGCGAAATTATGTTCACAGGGTCCCAGTTCTCTTCTCTCCAATTTAAATTTAAATACTGTAAGATTTTAAATAAACAATCCATGCTGCATGGATTGTTTATTTAAAATGTTACAGTATTTAAATTTAAATTGTTTATTTAAGGAGGGAGATTGGGAGTGACAGGTGATGAGTGAGTGTGATTACAGCCTGGCTCATGTCATGACAAAGTTTACTGAACTTGAACTGAACTTGCATTACTGTAGCCCTACTTGGCATTTTTTCACTTTTCGCCGGTGGGCGTGGTCCCAAACACCCGTGATAAATATAGGGACTGCTATATATATATATATATATATCTATAGATATATATATATATATATATATATATATATAAAGCAATATCTTAAAGCTGCAATAAGTGAACCGTGATATCTCGAGGGACGACTGTAAATCCAAAGCTTTTCCTTTCGACTCAACTCTTCCTTCACCACCCAAATCAATGCCCTCATTACTGAAGACAAGGCCCCGATGCATTCATCCAGCTCCCACTCAATCTTACCATCACTCGTGAACAAGACACCCAGATTATTAAGCTCCTCAACCTGAGGCAGAGACTTCCCTCGACTCCAAGGGAGCATTCTGTTTATCTTTGACAATGGTTTTCTTCAGATCATTCAAATCTTTTGCCTTTTGTACTTTGAAAATGTTTTGGAAAATTAGTTTAGCTTCTTTTTTGTTAACTCTACAAACGAAGCCAGTAAAGCAATTGTCATTTCCAAAAGCGCCTGTTGATGAGCAGTGAGATTGTTGGGAAGGTTGGGATCCCAAGATTAGGATTCATATTTTCCCAGGATCCTCTCTTGCTCAATGACAGGCTGTAACAATTTATTTTGTCACCATAGTTCATGTTGAAATGCTTCCCCTTGGCTGCTGCTGCTTCTTCTGGTGATATACATTTGTGATTAGGAAACAAATGTATGGCACAATACTGTCACCAACGTGTAAGAAGTGTCATTTAGGACAGCCAACTAAATAAACCACCTGGCTGACATTACCCTCCTCTACCACTTGACTGCTTAACAGAGAGGTGAATGTTGCATCTAGTGAAGTGTTCTTTTTCTGTGTAAATACATGCACTTGGTATCAAACCAATACCTGATGGTGTTATCTGTATCGGTACATCCCTAATTTCAAATATTTTTATTCCAATAAATCACACAACGTTCTTGATTATGAAAGAAAAGTCACTTTTCTTGTAACAAAAGTCACAAGAAAATACACCTCATTATGATCTTTGATTCTTTTTTCTTTGAGGATGAGATGATTTTATTCTAACAGGTGACAGCCACCTTCTGTTTATTAAATATCCACCCATTATATTTTTCTGCGTTTTGCTTTTCTGGTTGCGTGGCTCACTTTTGCCCATATCCAGCAGTTACTGTTTGAGAGGTGGGGGACACCCTGGACAGGTCTCAAGTCCATCACAGGGACACATAGAGACAAACAACCATTCACTCTCTCACTCACACCTAGAGACAATTTAGAGTCACCAGTCAGTCTAACATGCATGTTTTTGGTCTGTGGGAGGAAACTGGAGCACCTGGAGAAAACCCACGCAGCACGGAGAGAACATGCAAACTCCACCCAGAAAGACCCCCAGCCGGGATTTGATCTAGTGACCTTTTCATTGAGAGGTGGCAGCTCTACCAACTGACCTACTGTTTATTAAGTTGTCACTCTTATTTAATGCAAACACCCCCCCCCCCCCCCCCAAAAAAAAAGTTAATTTCTTTAGAGGACTTGTACGTTGCGGACACATCTCGTCTCACATATTTCATTTTTTGTGTCAGATTTCTTTCTTTTTGGGGGCCACAAATGGTCCAGTTCAGTTTGGAAACATGACGTCGTCTGTGTGAACAAACTCAGTGTTTGTATTCTAATCAGTCAAATTATGCACGTAGCTGTGACAAGTTCATCTGTAGATGATCTTTAGTCATCCTTAATCCTAAACACTTTATGACTTGAGATTATTTTTATTTTACTTGATTGCACTTTGAGCCCATCCTGAAATTACTGTTGTGTAATGTGCTATGGTTAAATTGTATATTAGAAAAACATTTAAGCATATTTATCTGTATCAAAATAATGGGACTTGTTGCTTAAATACTGTTCTCAAGTAAAAGTTACAGTTTAAATTTTACTCAACTACAAGTAAAGTTTCATGTGTTAAAAAAAATCTACTTAAGTAAAAGTAAAGAGTAAGTCTTAAAAATGTTATTTTGAATCACAATTCGTCTTTTGAAAAAACTTTACCAGTGGGAGGATGTCTCTCGTCAGCTACTGATCTGGACGATGAGCTCAGTTTCATCTTAAACTGTCAGACATTCTGACTGTGCACAGATTTTTTTCTTAAATCCTAATAGTGGAGCAGCTCAAACCAGTTTTGCACAAGAATGATCCAAAATGTAATACAAGCAGCAAGTTTGGCATGGTTGTTCCCAAGAGTCTTCTGAACAATTGTATCTGATTGGCCATCTAAAAATCCAAGATTCATGATTTTTTAATTACAGTTATATTATTAATAATTTACTAATATGTGTTACTTGCAATGCACTGAAAAAGAAAACAGAAAATTTGACAAAACGATCTAAACTGTACAAGTAATTGCATTATCATATGATTACTGTACAGAAATAAGTTCATTTTTCCTGCCATGTTGAAAAAAGGCTCCTATCTTGGATTTACAAATGGCCAATCAGGCAAATCTGGCAAATACTTCAAAGAACATTATCATACCAGATTTAGTGCTTGTATCACAATTTGCATGCTGTTTCTATTACCACTCACTCTACTAAAAGTGCACGTTGTACATGATGTAAGATACAACAATGTTATACCCACCTGAATGGTTTTTGATTTCACAGAGCAAGGCAAAGCATAATAAACAATAAAGATCATAATAAAGATCGCTCTGGTTAAGAAAGCACCATCAGTAGTTAAAAACACAGACCAGTTAAACGGAGGCAACTTTCAGCAAACATGAGAACCAAGCTGAAAACTTGAACCCATTCACAAGCTGACATTTTCCACTGTGCAGCAGGAGCTGCAGTTAGACTACAGTGCATAAAATATGTTGTGCAAGATGTACAAAACTAGTTACATGTTTAACAAATTTCCACAAAGCCTCTTATTAAAGTATGAAATTCTTGTTTTAACTTAGGAAACAAATATGCTTTAAATTTCCCACCACAGACTGCACGTCTGAGTCTCTCTGAGCTAAAACAGCTAACAGCAAAATGCAGCGGCTTCCTTCCCTTAACTTGGATTCAGAGTGTCTTAAACATGGCCAGGAGTTCCAGGAGCCGATTTGATTTTTAGCTCCGCTTCAGCAGAAGTTGGGCTGGAGGTTTCGCTGTCCTCCAGTTAATAGGACAGATTGAAGTCTGCTAAGTTTCACTCCACTCTGATGGGTGGAGAGGAGCACAGAGTGGGAGGAGTTTGTACACTATGGGTTTGTTTAAAGTTATCCTTCGTGACCTGTCTTCATTTGTCATGAATTCATACGCTGGCTGAATGGTAATCCGGTCACTGCAGGAGGTTATGTTGTGCATTCTTTAGTTAATTAATTCTTGATTTTCTTTTGCACGTTTACATTCACATTTTTTTTACTCTGTAACAGATGAGATTTTAAATGGTACTAAGTACGATAACTGAAATAAAACATATGGAAGTTAAGAAAATTCTTTGAACTAGTTAGTCAGGAGTCCAGGATTGAAGTTTCAACATCCAAATAAATGAAGAACCAACACAAAGTGTCGTCCTTACAAAAACATGAGCAACACCTTTCTGACAATCAGCACAAATGTGCAGTTATTAATACATTCCCTACATCCTAAAAGAAGGATTTCCTCCACCTCCTCATCCCAACCCACTTGGAGACCCCATATTTCCTCCCACACAGTTTGTCTCGTCTGCTGAAAAGTATGCTTTGTGTAAGTAGTTGAAAAGTCAGGAAAGTAACAGACAAAATACTGTGACTTGATATTTCAAAAATACAAAACTAATACTAGAGGAACTGTATTTCTTTGCTTTCCAGCTCTAATTAATGGACATGTTTGTCCTAAAATTGGACTGGTGCCATATATGTTTACAAATGTAGTAGTAAGACCTGAATGAACAACGGTGGAGGGGTCTTTAGTTTATCTGTTATTTTGTTGATTTATTTGTTTGTGTGTTTGTGGGAGCGGAATGGTAAAACAGCTACATGATCATTTTCTCTGTCCTCATTTTATTTCCTGTTTTTGGGTTTAGGAGCCCTCACAACCAACGGCATCAGTGCAGACACTAGCTCTGAGATTGGACGAGCCAAGAACTGCCTGAGTTCAGAGGATATCATTGAGAAATACAAAGAGGCTATCTCCTGCTATGGAAAGGTACTGACCCATTAAAAAAACCCTCACACACACACACACACACACACACACACACACACACACACACACACACACACACACACACACACACACACACACACACACAAACACACACACACACACACACACACACACACACACACACACACACACACACACACACACACACACACACATTTGCTGCTTGGATCTGGAGTTTGTGAAGTTCACTCACACGCACTGAGGTCCTGCCTTAGACTGAATACTGACTATCCATCCAACCATTATCTTTTACCCGCTTCTTCTTCTGGGTCACGGGGGTCGCCGGTGCCCATGTCCAGCAATCACTGAGCTGATCGGCACAGTCTTTCAGCAAGAAATTCAAGAAAGCTGCCATAAATGTTCATCTATGAGCATAATAACTTGGAAAAACACATTTTAGTACAAACCGGATTGCAAAAAAGTTGGGACACTAAACAAATTGTGAATAAAAACTGAATGCAATGATGTGGAGATGGCAAATGTCAATATTTTATTTGTAATATAACATAGATGACAGATCAAAAGTTTAATCTGAGTAAATGTAACATTTTAAAGGAAAAATATGTTGATTCAAAATTTCAGTGTCAACAAATCCCAAAAAAGTTGGGACAAGTAGTAAGTAATAAGTGGCTGGAAAAAGGAAATTGAGCATATAACGAACAGCTGGAAGACCAATTAACTCTAATTAGGTCAATTGACAACATGATTGGGTATAAAAAGAGCTTCTCAGAGTGTCAGTGTCTCTCAGAAGCCAAGATGGTAAGAGGATCACCAATTCCACCATTGTTGCGCATAAAGATAGTGCAACAATACCAGAATGGTGTTACCCAGCGTAAAATAGCAAAGACTTTTAAGTTATCATCATCAACCGTGCATAACATCATCAAAAGATTCAGAGAATCTGGAACAATCGCTGTGCGTAAGGGTCAAGGCCGTAAAACTCTACTGGATGCTCGTGGTCTCCGGGCCCTTAAACGTCACTGCACCTCAAACAGGAATGCCACTGTCAAGGAAATAAGAGAATGGGTTCAGGAATACTTCCAGAAAGCATTGTCAGTGAACACAATCCACCGTGCCATTCGCCGTTGCCAGCTGAAACTCTACAGTGCAAAGAGGAAGCCATTTCTAAGCAAGCTCCACAAGCTCAGACGTTTGCACTGGGCCAGGGGTCATTTAAAATGGAGTGTGGCAAAATGGAAGACTGTTCTGTGGTCAGATGAGTCACGATTTGAAGTTCTTTATGGAACACTGGGACGCCATGTCATCCGGACCAGAGAGGACAAGGATAGCCCAAGTTGTTATCAACGCTCCGTTCAGAAGCCTGCATCACTGATGGCATGGGGTTGCATGAGCGCTTGTGGCATGGGCAGCTTGCATGTCTGGA